AAAGATGGTAAATATTTATTATTTTATAAAATATAATAAGTATATTAAATAATATCATAACGATAAAATGATGTAACTCAGATTATAAAAATAAACTTACTAATTCGTAAATGTGACTTTAATTTGTACTCTCTCTCTCTCTCTCTCTCTCTCTCTCTCTCTCTCTCTCTCTCTCTCTCTCTCTCTCTAAAGAAGATGCTTTATCAAAAATATTTCTGATTGTTACGTAGTAGCATTACAACTTTTTCAAAGAATGTTTTTTCGTATAATGCGCGAATCATATAAATAATAGTGTTATTTATTCTTTTTTTTTTCGATTAAGACAATTGAGAACTTTTCTAGAAAACATTTAACCGAATCAAACCAACGTGATATATTGTTAAAATAAATTGGCAACATTACATTAAAAATTGAAGAGGAAGTCACGTTTGAGTAATCTGATAGTGCAAAATGAATATCAATTACTCATAAAATTTCAAATCTGCAAGTCATTTCAAGTGAATTTGTATGCATCTGCATTATTCATAATTATTTCGTGAATGTTCTTTAACTCGCTATTGTTAAACAATTTTATTTGTTTAACAGATTGTTGTGTAAGAAATCACAACAAGATACGTTTTGCACAAAGTGATGATAATGCATTCCTTCATTGATTTTTGATCATATTATGACGGCGATATTGACTAAACATATTAATGAAGCCTTTATGTCACGTGGAAAGGGTGTGAATAAAATATACATTTATTTTAAAAGTGTTTTTTTTTTCTGGAAATTGCTACAACACACTCTTGTAATGACTCTTATAATAAACTTTTTTTTTAATACGTATTTTTCTTTTGCCAACGTACTAGAAGTTTAATGAAATTAGAGAGAGAGAGAGAGAGAGAGAGAGAGAGAGAGAGAGAGAGAGAATTCAAAGACCGAATTATAAGTAAAGATGAGAAAATCACGGAAGCAATGTGAAGCATTGCTTGTATTAACACAAAACAAATGAATTAACACAAGCTAAACGCTTCGAAAAGGAAAGCTGTACTGGTTCAATTGCCTACTTCCTGAAAAACAACAGAGAACGTATAAAAGTTTCCAATATCTTGAAATATTTACACGTTTTAAAAAATTTTAATCCCACTAAACAAGAATAAATTGAAATGAACAGAAATGAATGCATTTCGACATTTCCGAATTCGCGCTTCTGATTTTTTAAATTCATTTGAATCCATGAACACATTTGAATTTAACATGATGAATAGCTCTATTCATTTGAGTTAAAAAAAATTTATGTTGTAAATAAGTTAGCCATAAATACATTCTAGTTCAAAATTATAAAAACACACACTTTTATTTAAATAAAAAAAGTTGTGATGGAAATATATATATATATATAAGTCCTAAACTTATATCCGATACAGTATTGAATAGGAATATTCCTATTTCGATCGAAATGAATAAAAATACTATTATATTTATAAAGAAAGAATTATAAATGTTATTGTAAAATTAAAAGAATATTTACAGGAAATTTATTTTCAAGTCGTTTTACTTGTTATCCATTTCATATACAAAAACGAATACCGTCGTCAGATATCACACAATTTACACATATTTCAATTCATTTCAATCCATTCTCGTTTTCTGGGATGAAATTTTTTCATAATTTAGCGAGATATCTTAATGTGAAAAACAGCACGTTTAATATATGTACTTATGAAAAGTATAAAATATTTATAACTTGTATTTTTATAATCGATTCTTATATTGAAGATTATTTTAAATACAATTTTAAGATGTCATCAACCAATCAGAAAACTATTAGCATCTAAAATATTACTTAAGAACCGATTTTACCATTTTCCAATTAATTTGATCGACCAATTATTCTTGGAACTGACCAATTGCATTTGTTTTTAAGTAGAATTCATCATAGTTGGTACTTAATCGATTAATCAAGTTAATCGGAATAAAACTGGCCCTAAGGCGATTTTGAAATAAGTATCGACTATGAATATCGTCCTTATAAATATAACAATCTAATAATTATTTTTTTTACCATCTCTACTTATTAATAATCTTTGTAAAAAATATGGAATCGTAACAATGGAAATATTGGAAGTTATAATAACTTTAATATTTTAAAACCGCATTTTGAACTTCTCATTGCTATAAACTTTAGAATTTTATCAGAGTACAAGCTATTTTTTTTCTAAAGAAGCTTAAGTTATATATAGATGATTTTAACGTACACATAGATACACACACACACACACACACACACACACACGCTATATTAAATAATCCCAATTTTTCAATCATCGAACTTCTATTATAATAAAAAAGAGAGATAGGAACAGAAATAGAAAGAGACTTGCCTTATAAATTGTCCGCCTACCTTCTTTCGAATCTTATTTAGATTTTACCAAAGTCAATCCGCTTGTGTGCGTTTTCGATATGTTTATAAATTTAACAACACGAAAGCAAATATGTATTGTTTTAGTACACTCTAAACATATTCAGCAACAACTTTTGACGAGCTGTGAAAAATATATAAAAATAATTCTTCCGTCGTATTGAAATATCGGAATAAATACGAGCAGGTATGGGATATCTGCTAATCAATCGATAAAGAGACGGAATATCCGAACAATATTACTCGACGAAGAGCAGAGTGATACTGATCATGACCTTGTTACAGCCCCAACTGTATATGAAAGTATTTCATTGAGAATATGTATCGGCTATGGTTTCAGCTTACGACAGTTCCGTAAACTATGCACTATCGTGCGGTGCATGGCGGTCATTGATTCTCTCTCTCTCTCTCTCTCTCTCTCTCTCTCTCTCTCTCTCTCTCTTCCCCCCTCCCTCTCTCCCTCTTTAATTCCTTCTTGTTCGTCTCATGCCGATCCTCCTCATCTCGATCCCGTTATCATTTTATCATTGTCGTTCTCTACTAGCCTTTGAAAATTGTGGCATCAGTCGAAAAACGTACATGGATGACGCATCGACTAACGAAATGCAAAAGTATAGTAAACGCGGATAAAAAATTTAAGAAAATAAATAACTTTTGTCGACGATTTTTTTCTTTGGGAAAATTAAAGAAACGCCATTTGTCTGACTTAATTGATTTTTTTTGGAGAGTCGATACATGTAAAGTTTTTAATTTTTTTCACTTTAAACAGTTTTCCAAAATTTTAGCAATTTGAAGCAACAATTAGTTTTATAATAATTAATTTGAAGTATTCTACTTTTATTACGGAAATATTAAAATATTATTATCGAAATTTATAGCGAATTATTGAATTGAAATTTAAATGGTATACAATGATAAAAATTAATTTTTATATTTACGATGACATATACAATGTAATATGACGACGAGAAAAAGCGTGACGGGTATTTCAAAATTGATGACGTGATGGTGTCTCAATCGTCTTAATGGATCAGAGCAATTCTATGATACCGATTTATGATAAAAAATTAAGGAAATCTGGGGCTAGCAGATTACAGGTAAACTGTCAATTCTGGCAGCTCTTATTAGCACAAATATGCATCACATTCATTAATGCACATTTAGATATCGCACGACGAACGATATCTAATGAGAGTTTTGCTTTCCATCGTCGTATAAGAAAAAGCAGAGCTTTCATTGGATATCGTTTGTCGTTCATCGCGTCCAATGTACAGCAGACATTAGTCTGATAGGAGCATAAGATTCAGCAAATTAACCAATCACAGTTTTCGAAATAGTGAGAGAGTCCCAATTGGACACTGAATGGCTGCTTTAAAATATTCTAATTGGTGCTCCACTAGAACATTACTAGACACCGGCTAATGTGGATGTGTCCAACTGAAATGTGGCATCTAGGATCTTCTTCAAAATGATCTTGTATCTTGAGAATTTTTGACTGTGATCTACTTGCTAGTTAAAGGCCATGACACATAAAATATGGAGAACAATTTGAAAAATTAAAAATTAAAAACTTTTTTTCAGTATTCCCCTGTTTAAAACTTTATAAATTATTCATATATATAGTTTTGTGTTATCTTTTGGTTTTTCTGGTGTGAGAAAGATTTTCACATCTCATATATTTTAAATTTATGTGAAAATTTCTAAAAAAATATCTAAATATCTTCAGATCACTTCGGGTTTTATAAATTTTCTTCGATATTATTCTTAGATTTCATAATTCGCATATGTAAAGAATTCCAGAACAGATATATATATATATATATATGTTCTGAGCATTTCTTGAAAAATGTTTTAATTCTTATTAAAAAAACTAATTTTTTTAAAAAGTTATTAATTTATACAAAAATTTTGAAAAATTATATGGAAAATCTTAATAAAAATTTTCATTAGATTTTGTTTCTAATTTGTGTTCTTCTATAGATACGACTACGTTGCAGGCAGTAAAAGAGAATAATAAAAATTCAGATATTAACTATATTACAAATCAGATTGATTAAATGTATGTAATATTAATATAAAATAAGGTAAAAAAAAATACTGAATTATACACATTTGATATTAAAATTTCAATGAGGTACATATGTACTAGTATTATGGATTTGTTTATATACAGATACATATAATACAATATAAAAAACTTTTTAGCATTTTTCATAAGAATAAAAGTGTACTTAGCACAATCACAGTACATTAAAAAAATTATTTTATTTTATTTATTTTTGCTACTGTCTTTATAGTATATTTAAGTACAAAAACAAAAGGTTGCAAAACATTTTCGAATTTGAGAAACATGTCACATATTTTTGCATATTATAAATCTCGAACTAAGAAAATAATTCAAAAATAGAACTGACTTTAAGGTTGTAAAATTGCATTAAACAAATTTTTTCCCATATAATTTTATAAGAATATATAATATATATCCCATAATTTAGAAGTATTCAACACAATTTGCAGAAACAATGTAAGCATGATTGAAAATTTATCAGCAATCTAATCAAATATAAACGAATTTAACATAAGAAAATGTAGTTAGTTATGTGAGTGGCCTCTTATAAGCCTTTAATTGATTACGATTATATATGGAATGAATGTGTTCAAACATGTATTTAAAAAAGTATAAAAGATTATCATACTGTCCATTGTATTTCTGCATTAGTTCTTCACTATTAATTTCAGAGTATGGATGTATGTAATCTGTATTCTTTATAATATCATTTACATCTAGATATCTTTTTATAATCTCTTCATAATCCTCATCCATTCCAATAGCACATGTGTGTAATTCCACTAGAAATTGATGAATTGATTCAATTGTTGCTAAATACCATCTGGGACTGTCCTTTTGATGACGCCAAAATTGAGAAATCCTTGATTTTAATACCACACAACGTAGCTCTGTGTCAATTATATAAAAACAGTAAGTTATTTAACAGTGACACAAAAGATTTGCATGTAATAATTATAAAAACTAAATTTTTTTCTTATTTACCTCTCAATCTTTGGTCTTTATATATTGATTTAGTCTGGTGCCATGTACTATCTATGAAAATAGCCTTTTTTATGGGCCATAAAAGATAAGTCTCTGTTCTTTCCCCTGAAGCATCTTTTCCTTCTTTTCTTATAAAAAGATCCTTAACACTTATATTCTTTGTACTATCTTTGCCAGGAAAAACTAAAACAGTCTAAAAGTAGCATCCATCGAGTTAAGAACCAATTAAGAATTGAAGGGCTTAAAAGTAGATTATCTTAAAAGTATATTATAGTTATTTTTCTTACTTCCTCTTTATTCGGTATTTCTGGAAAATCTGGATATGTATAGATTTTTACATCCGCCGGTGCAATTATCGCAGCATGGATAGCTGTGCTTTTGCCAGGTATTTCGCGAGGATGCTTAATGATGTCGATTTTAATTGGCAACTGAAAAAAGTAATGCAGAGTAATTATAAAACTGAATGATACAGAATACATTTTAACCTTTCTCTCAAGCAAAACAAGTCACGATAATGTCAAAATGAATAATATTAAAATGAATCATTAGATTCATGAGAAGTGATTTTTATTAATCATTTTAGAGCCTTTTTTATTTCATTCTGATATCATGATGATTCTGCTTGGGCTGTCAGTGCATAATTTTTTACTTTTTCATTACTGTGTTTCACAAGGCTCTTGTTAAAAATGTAAAAACGAAAATGAGATAAAATCTGTACAAAATTGTTGTTCAAAAAGGTATTTTTAAGGCATTATAACAAAAAAATATAAAAATTTTAACTGTTTAAAATTCAAAAATATCTACCCATATCATGACAGAAGGATTAAATTAACGTTAAATTATATAAAAATTCAGTTTTATCCATATATGTGGCACAATCAGTATATACCTTAACTCGTGGATAATATTTGCATGAAAGAACAGGATGATAACAGGTGTAACAGAAAAATTTCCGTGATTTTTGACATAAATCACACTTTCTTCTAGATTCGACCAAGTTTAGTTCCCTCGTATCATTAATTTTTAAGTAACAAAAAGGATTTCCATCGATTATCCTTTGTTTTTCCTCTAACTCCGACGAGTTGTCAGTAGAATATTTAACGGTGCTTTCCGCCATACTTATATATTTTTAACAGTCATTGAAATATTCAAAATATCAGTATTTATTTATAATAACAGGACCATAATTCCCGGTCACAGGTAAATAAACCTGATAACGTCACGGAACAAATATGTTTGTACATCAGCATGGCGAATCCTTATTAAACAACTTTCATGAACAGTAGCCTTTAGAGTAGTAAAGTGTAAAATATATAAAACTTTTGGAATATATGTACAGTAATGAGAATTGCAACAAAATTCATTAATTAAAATCTCTTATAAAGAATTTGCAATAATTAAAACATCTTTATATATTAGCCAGTATCTTAAATAATCTAAGTAAAATACTAATATATAATATGGCTTTCTGATTGATTTGTGACATCTCATACTTATTAAGACAGATTAAAACGGTCTTAAATATAACAATTGACTGTAATAGCTATAATTGACTAGAATTGATTGTATTTGACTATTATTTGACTATTATATTGTTGTTATTATTATTGTTATTGTTGTTACTGATTAGGATTGACTCTTATGAATATTAGCCATTGTCCTCTGAAAGTTAAAGATTGTCCTTTGCTTTCATAAGTATTGTGTGGATTGAAAAAGTAATTCCTCGCTTCTCGTTCCATTTTTTTCTTCCTCATTTATATCCCGTTAATCTAGGGATTAAAGAGGCCAGTTCTTTTTGAACTAAACTTTTGCACCAGTTCATCTTTCTTCCTGTTCTTTTCTTCTAGAGAGAAAAGAAAGAAAGATGAACTGGTGCAAAAATTCAGTCAAAAAGAAAGGCCTTATCCATTTGACTGTCTGTACTGAAAATCTATAGTGCACGTAACGTAAACTCGCATTTTCAGTGTTGGCAATAAATTTGGAACACAAAGAAGGAGAGAGAGAGAGAGAGAGAGAGAGAGAGAGAGAGAGAGCAAGCCTGTCAACATTTCCTTTCTCTTTCGGAGCAAGGAGTAGCTTGATGTTATTCGTAGCCACGTGCGGATACCATTAAGCCTGTATTGGATTATCGAGGTTCGTGAGTTGGCAGAATGCGAATTCAATCATCAAAACAAATTAAACCTTGAGGTTATCTGATTGGTCGAATTCTAATCCTAGATCTTCCATCAGTGTCCGTCAGTGTTGGTCAATCGTCGATTCGTCACTTCAATCCGACTTGTCCGACACGGGCTTTATTTTGAGATATACACATGACTACTTGAGGCAAACGTGCAGAGGGAACGTGAACTTCCCAAGTAACATCGCAGTACAAAGAGCCTAAAAAAATTTCAGAAGCATGTCCACGTAAATGTGAGTACCGCGGAAGTATCGTCGTGCGGCTGGTATGTAATTCTGGAAGCCCAAATCGTATTTTAACACGCATATCATCGTGTGACATCCCATTGTTCCCATGTCGTTCACCGAGTGTCAAATTTCATGCCTGTTGCGCGCTTTCACAACGCTTTCGTTTCTCCCGCGAGACGACGATGAGTTCGTCCGCGAGACTCGAAACGCGTGATCGTTAGGCGGAAAAGAGAGAAAAGAAACAGGAAATTGCAACAGGCTGTAAAGGAAGGAAAGAAAAAAAAGGATATAACGACGCAGGTTAAAGTCCAGTCGGTGCGATCTACGACGCATAGTATTTATTATGTCTTATGTAATAAGTCACATGTTTACATAGTCAGGAACCTTCAGTGGAAATTATATTTAAATTAACGGTGGGTGTTATAATTTTCACCAAACGAAACGCGAGGATTGATGTCACCAACTCATTCTCCACCTGGAGTGCTGTGAAAATGAGATTCATTTTAACAATTAATCTTGGATAATATATAATTCATTAATTCTTGCCAATATTTTTATTATCATTTTATTAAAGTGCCATTTATAAATATCGCCAGAATTATATCTTTGCTGTTTTCTCTCAAGCATATATTTATATTAAAAGAAACAAGTTGTACGTGTGTGAATCAAATTTACGTTGTAAGTTCATGATAAAAGACAATAGATTTGTTCCTTATTGCTGCACTGGACTGCATTACATTACAACTTTCCTTTTCGCTTTTATCAATTATCAAACATGTACCTTTTATTTCAAGCCCAAAGAATATATATTGTGTGGGTGGCATAAAAAAAGATACCTATTTATGGATGCGTTAGATAATAGATAACACAAGTCAACACAAACATTCTATCTTTCTTAACATTCAATGAGTGACAAAGCAGGACAATTCTTGTTTCATCAAATAGAAAGCATATGATATAATTTTTTGCTTCAATTTTATATTGAGATTTGCGAATATAAAATATTGCAACAGAAGCTCTTATCTTTGAAAACTTACCTTTTTTCTTACAAAACAACGAACATTTTGCAGATTCGCAGTCAGTCATATTTATTCTGAATCATGTCGCAATACGAAGATGTCATTTTGGAAGATAAAGAAAAAGAAGAAAATTTATCAGTAGATTTAGGAGGAATGCGACATCGTATTCCATGGAGCGAACGTGTATTGTTAAATAGTGAGATACCAGGTTTATACGAAGTTAAAGAATTATTAGAGGATGACGACGCAAGTTGTCTGGCAGAAGAGGAGGATGGGGTCGGGTGTCCATTACCATCGACACCGGAAGATGATCATCTTCTGGATTGTGAGGTATGTATATTGTTTCCTTTTGTCTTAAAATATTGTCTCAAAATTTATCTTAAAATTTGTACATGGAGAACGATTTTACTGAAATATCTACAAGTATTTATAAGTATTTAGCTAGGTATATTGTTGATGGAGGGTCAAATTTTCTTCATAATTATTTTGATAGTCCAATAAAATCACTTTTAGACTATATAAAAGTATGTAAATTTTTGAATATTTTCAGCAAAATCATTC